ACTGTAATCTAGAGATGATTTAAGATACATGGAAGGACATATGTAGGATAGGCTCAAACACTATACCATTTTATATAAGGGACTTGAGCATCCATGGATTTCTGGCATCCATGAGGAGTCCTGGAACCAATGCCCCACGGACCCTGTGCGACAACTGTCTTTCCAAATAAGGTCATATTCTGAGGTGCTAGTTTTTGGAGGACAAAATTTTATCCATAACATCTAGCCTTAACTATTAGTTACATATATTTAAAATATGCACATGCACATGAAAACATGTATGTAAATGTTTGTTGCAGCATTTTTCATAATTATGAAACTATAAAATATAAACCTTTAACAAGATAAGTTTATAAATTATGATACATATTTAATGGAATATTATATTAAGTCAAGTAGAATAAAACTAAATTAAATTTAATGAAATACAAATTCTCACATCACATGGGGAGACCAAAATACATAATGACAAACATAAAATCAAAGTTGGAAATTTTCTGTTTCAACAGAGTGATAGATTAGATATTTAAATAATGGACAACATAGAGAAGTTTTAAACACATTGCTGAGTTGATGCAAAAATAAGGATTCCACAAAATCTAAAATTAAGTGAAACTGGAAACACTGGGAAGTGTATGAGCACCAAAGCTGGCTTTGCCCTTTGGGGTTTTTTAATTGGCACATAATGTTTATACATATTTCTGGGGTACATGTGATATTTTGTTACATGCATAGAACATGTAGTAGTCAAGTTAGAATATTAAGATATCCAGCACCATGAGCATTTATTAATTCTGTGTTGGGAAGATTTCAAATCCTCTCTTCTACCTATTTTGAAATATACAATACATTGTTGTTAACTATGTTAACTATGGTCACCCTACTACACAGAAAGTGAAAATGAAGGTCCCAAAGTGGTAGCACTTACAGGTGGCAGAAGCAACTGTGTGCACTGAGGAATATAACTTTACCTAGGCCTCAAAGAATTGCCACAGGTAAAGGGTGGGATAAAACAAGCAGCACAAAATACTATATGCACTTACATGAATACAAACAGGCAGAAAGAGGAGACAACAGAAACATACACAAAAGCACCAGATATTGGAATTTACAGACGTAAAAATCTAAATTACGTTGAATATATCTAAAGAAATAAAAGACAGGCTTAGAAAGATAAACAGAATAGAAGGGATCATATATAAACAAGAAGATTTTGGGAAAAATACAAAATACAACTTTAGAAATAAAAAATATACAATAAATATATTTGACTAAAAAACCAAAATGAGTAACATAATCAACAAACTTGATGTAGCTAACGAGATACATTTTGAATTGTAAAATAGATCCAAGTAAGTATCTAAAATTCAGACCACAGGTTTAAAAATATAAAAGAAAGTTCAAGGAACTAAAAGATAAAGGGTGAATACTATAACAAAATTCCAGAAGACAGAAAAAGAAGAGATAATAGAAAAATCGTTTCTGTGAATGTTTTAGAATTGTTGAGCCTCATTGAGTCTCAAGTATGGAAATTCTAACAAATTTAAAACAAGGTAAATCTTCTATAAAAATCCATGTCAAGATGTTGTCTGTATTTGTGTGTGAAAGACAAGGAGGAGAGAGATGGAGAAGGTGAAAGAGAAAGATAGTTCCAGCAAGCAGGCAAGTACAAATGTGGCAAATCTTAACAATTGATGAATCTACCTGAAGAGTATGAGTACTCATTAAATTATTCTTGAAATCTTTCAGAAGGATTGAAAAGTTTCAAAATAATTTAAATACAAATTAACAATATAAATATTATATACAACACAAATATAGGAAAAATACAAGCATACTGACAAAAACAGATAGATAGATAGATAGATAGATAGATAGATAGATAGATAGATAGATAGATAGATAGATAGATTGATTCAATAATTTCTATCTTACCCCACCAGACTCAGTCAGTTTTCACTGGACATTTTACTAAGTTTTCAAGAAACCAGTAGTCTCAATCTCACATAAAATTTTCTAAAGATAGAAAAAGTAAGAATGGCTTCAAATTCGTTTTGTGACTTGACAAAATCATGATGGCCAAATCTGACAAGGACTGCACAGAAAGAGAGGAAATTAAAAAGCAAACTCACTAATGAACTTACATGAAAAGAATTTCCTTTCCCCAGAAAAAAAAAATTATCAAGGTGACCTAACAAGGTATTGAAGATTAGGGTTTATTGCAAAAACACAAGGTTCATTTAATTTCAGAAAACAGAGTAATGTAATTCACCACATTAAGATATTTAAAGAAATAAATGGAATGCAAATTTTAAAGATGCAGAAAGGTGTTTTTAAAATTATATGTATACTCACGATTTTTAAAAAAGTCTCAGAAAACTGTGAAAGTTCGTCACCCTTATAAAATGAATATATCTACATCTGTATATATGTATTATGTTTAAGTTTATATTATGTATACTACATATTAATATACGTAATAGTCATGTATTTAATATCACATTTAATTGTGAAACTTTGAAAGCCTTTTCTTCTGAGACTGGGAATTAGGCAAGGATGCTGCTCTCATGACTTTTGTTCAGCTTTGCACTGGAGGATTTAGTAAGCATGATTTGAAAAAAAAAGAAAGAAGAAGGTCTGAGGATTGGGGAAAAAAGGAAAAATTATTGTTTTCTTCAGATTCAGGTTATGTGACTGAATGTAGAAAGTTAAAAAAAAAGTCTATATATAAATCATTAGAATTAATAAGAGCCTCAGCAAGATTATCAGATACTGAAACAGCATGCAAAAATCATTTGCATTTCTATGTACCAGGTACAAGTAATTAAAAATACAAAGTTTAAAACTACAAGCATCAAAAAATATGAAATAACTAGGAATGAATAAGCAGGCTTTATAGACATTATTATGAAACATTATCAAGAGACACTAAAAAGACCTAAAAAAGTGACTAGAGATACCAAGTTATGGGATCAAAAGTATTATTAATTGAAAAGATGTCATTTATCTCCAAAATAACATATCAATTCAATGAAATCTCAGTAAGAATCCAAAAAGCATTGCTTACTGTTTGTTTTGTGGAGCTTTATAAGCTGGTCTAAAACGTATTTTATAAATATAGGAGGACAAGAAAAACCATTACAGTCTTTTGGAACAAGGTACGAGACCATATTTGACCTTATATCAAAACTTATATAAAGTTATAGTAATTGAGATAGAATGCTATTTGCTCAGAGACTGACAACTAGCCCAGTGGACTAGAATGAAGTAGAAGAAATGCATCCATATACGGATAAAGAGGTATTGGATACAGATGAGGACATAATGCCTTTCAATAAATTGTGCTGGGATAATTGGATATCCATAAGGAAAAACAAATGAAATTCAATCCTTACCCTATACCAACTCCATGTGCAGAAAAAAAAAAAAAAACCCTACATGAAAGGCAAATCCATAAAGTTTTCAGAAGATAATATAGGAGAATAACTTCAAGACCTTGGGATAGGGGAATATTTTTTGAACAATAATTAAGAAATACTAACCATAAAGGAAAAGATTACATTAAATTAAAAATAAGTATCTTCCAGTACCAGAAAGACAGTGAAAACAGGAGCCACATTAGAATGTATTTGTAATACATCTAAGTGATTAATGTCTAGTATCCTGAATATATGTAGTCTCTTTAATTAATAACAAAAATTATAATCACTAAATTGTCCAAAATTAAAAGTCTGATTGTATCAAACGTTAGTGAGAATTTGGAGCAAGGAGGTTATCTTATCTTACTGGTTGGAGTGGAAATTTTTACAATTCTTTGACAAACTGTTACATAGTAAAATTTAAGATGTATATCCAGTGACCCAATAATACTATTTCTAGATATTTACCCAAGAGAAACTTACAGGTATGGATCAGGAAACATGCGCAAGAGTGTTTATGGAAGCATTGTTTGAAATAGTTTCAAACTGAAAATGCCCCAAATGTCAATTCTCAGTAGAAGAGATAAATAAATTGTGGCATTGTCATTCAATGGAATACAATAAAATAATGAAAATGAACAAACTATAGCTACACACTTAAAAACATGGATGTATCTGTGATGTCATTCCTTTTATATAAGATTTCAAACAGAGGCAGAAGTAGGTTGTATTACTTATGAATACATACATATATAGTAAAACTATAAATGATTATGATAAACACAGAAATGATTATGACAAACATCAGGATAGATTTCCCTTTAAAGTGTAAGCCCCTTGAGGGCAGGGGCCAAGTCTTATTATCTTTATCTTCAGCAGCTAACACAAGCCAGACACACAGTTGGCACTCATAAATTTTTTAATTGGATGTTTTGCTATCTACAATATAAGTAATTAAAGTTTAATTATTGAATGCTCTCTAGTTTAAATTTATTTTCATTCCAGGCTTCAGGTTCCAGACAGGACAATCATAAAATAGCCCCTGCTGGTCAGGACTCCCTCATGCAGAGCTGTCTGAGAGTGTCTAAGAGTTATTCGTTGTCATGCTCTTTCAGGCCACACTGTATTTTAGGCAATGGACATCAAAAAGAAGAAAAGACGCACAGATCTTCCGCCATGAGGTTGCATGATGAAGAGGAGGCAGGCAAGAAAAGAGACAATGACAAAAGAGTGTAGGGCTTTAAATAATTATTGTTAATGATTAAATACGTTATATCTGTTGTGAAAAAGAATGCTTTTTAACAGAGATCTTCCATCTTCTAGCTAGATGCTTACAGAAGAAGGTTTGTGTGATGTAGTTTGGCAAATGATGAGGGAAGGGAGGAGAGATTTACTGGACATTCCAAATCTCACCACTTCTACTTACTACCACTTGCTACTTCTGGAACAAAATGTTCCCCGCCTTTTCACCTGCTCTTCATTCTATCTCTCAGCCCCCCTACTCACTGCACACAGCAGAGGTTGGATTTTGATAATGAGGGTTGGGGCTATGCATCCTGAGAAGGGAGGGAGGGGTATCACCCGTGGAAGAGGATGGTCATCTGAGCAGACATAGTTCCTTGGAAGGAGGACTTGGGACTGAAGAGGGCCGGCATCTTGGGAAGAGCCTGGATCTGGGGCACTTGGGTGTGCTGGTGAGAGTGATCAGTGGGATGGCCACTGATGATGGAGGTGGTCCAGGAGGCCTCAAGGAGGGGTGCCAGATCGATTGAGCTGCCAGTTACTGTGTGTTTATTCCTTAGTGTTATCTAGGAGCTGGTCATAGAGTCTCGGTTAAATATTCCCACCTGTTGCCAACAGCTGTCCATAGGGAAATAAGTGAAAAGCTACAAGTCATTAGAATTTATAAGGGGAATGTCACTTCATGAAGCCACTGTGGTGAGGAGAGTGGTGACTTGCCAGGAGTCTTCAAGGGCATGTTAAACATAAGAAGACAAGCCCAGCTACCTTTCCCGGCACCAAGCGTCTCCTTCCACTGTCAACCTGACAGGCCGGGTTTGGCTTATCAAGGGGGTCCGCAGGTTCTGGTTCACCTGGGCAGCTGACTTTGCTCAACCAGTGACCAACACAGGGTGGCAGAGGGACTCCGTTCCCCATTGCGAGACTGCATTTCCCTAGGATGCAGGAGGAAGTTGGAGATGTAAAGTTGGTAATCACAAAATAAGACAAATGGAGGTTGTAAAAATCTCTTTTCCAAATATATCGCAAAGTGTATTTGAGACAACTGTGTGTGGATCCACAGGACACAGGTGTGGAGACACGAGGTGAGAACCTTCAGAAAGCCAACCTCTCTCTGAGGCTTTCAGTTTGGGGAGCAAGTGTGAGCATGTTCCTGATTTAGTCTCTGCCTTGTCATTTTCCAAGGGAGATATTCCCAAGTCTGGCAGATCTTGCCCTTATGTTTTTACAGCTATGTGCTCTGTTGCTGTGACCCAGTTCATGGAATAGGGACTTCCAACCTAGACAGGACTTCCTGAAGAACACAGAGCAAGCTGAGCCTCCAAACGAGGTTTGAGAGGCAACAAAAAAACCCATGAACTCAGCTAGGGAAACTGGTTCTCACCTTTGATAGCCTTAACTGGTTCAGTGAAAGAGCTCTTTGCTTCCAGACTTCATGATTTCAGACTCCAGGAGCTAATATCCCGGAATCAGATGCAACATGTAAGTAAAGTTGTGAAGGAGGAGATTATCTTTGCCCTCCAGTTTTAATTAAATTGTGGGAAATAATTATTAACTAGAGCCCAACACATAGCTTCTCAAAATACCAAGGAGAGCAGTTACATGCCCTTTGGGTATGTGTTGCTACATTGCAGAAGAAACACAGGTATAGCAAAAGTGAATTCTCATCTACATGTCCTAGATCACATCCTGCCAGTTTTCAATCCAAGATAAACAATGTGGTATTGAGATTCCAGTCTCAGATTATCCCTGCAAACACTGCCTCTTTGCACGCATCTCATGAAGCTACAGTGGGGTTTTAGGGAAATGAAATGGTCTCATAAATCTTGTCATTGCAGTTCTAATTAAACCCTAGGTTTACTTCCACCTGGG